TCTGTAGTTAAATGGATAAAACTCCTCCATTTCGTTTATTAAGCCAGAACACAGCATACTCTCCCACCAGGGATCCAGGGACTGTGGCCTGTCCTGCAGTTCCCTGGACCCGAGAGATATAGGTGTTGCCCAGTTTGTGGGGAGAGGCATCCCCCTCCGCCTGAGGGAGTGGGCCTCTCTCTGGCTCTGGCTGCCCTGTTAGCTGACAAAGGTCTGTAATGAGTCTGATGAGGCTACTGAACTGATTTTCCCCAGGTGGTTAATATAATCTGAAAGATAGAGTAGATTTTAATGAATAAATTATCTAAAAGCCATCTCTCTTTGTTTGAAATGAATACATGGCCTTGAATATGCTTTTCTGAGGGAAAGGAAAGATACTTGGATTAGGAATTCTTTGTACTCTTTAGTTTTGGTTGTAGGCAGAACCAGCCTTCCTAAGGCCCGCGGTGTTTCAGGTGACCTTCAGTGTATCCAGGGGTTTGGGATGCACCTACGTGTCTGAGTTGGCACCTCCCATCTGCTGTAGGAGTATTCCAGGGACAGAGGACAGTGCACCTTGGATGTGGTCTCTGCAGACTTGCTCCCACGGTGCGAAGGCTATAATTTGCTGCTGCCCTTTGCCAATTTACAGGCTGTAATTTTGGCCTGGGGCTTAACAACCTGTGCAGGATCTCTTTGAGATGGGAAGTGAGAACTACATGCTCAAAGGATGAGCTCCCAAAGGTCATTTTCCTCACAGTGGTTTAATAGAGTTGATTTTATACTCTCTAAGGGATACAGACTTCCAAATTGTTGCAATCTTACTAAATTTAACATACACAGCTAACATTTTAAATGAAATTGTCTCTTCCAACTAGGGGCATTTGGCAGAGCCTGGAGACTTTTTTTTTTTTAAAGGTACTAAGGATTAAACCCAGGACACTGCCATTATGCTCTTGAACTTGGAGTCTTCTGTCTTTTGCATAGCTGGCGGTATATCCCATTGTTCCAGCTTGGAGCTTTTTGGATTGTCATACCTAGGCAGGGATAAGTGTTCTGTGGGGTAGTGGGTAGAGCTGGACATGTACAACACAAAACAGCCCACACAGAGTGATCTGGCTCCAAATGCCCACAGCATCAAGGCAGAGAGGTGCCACTCAGACAGGCATTTGCTCTTATGCTTTTCTCTGTAAAGGGCTTCCTGAGGTATTGTGCGTGATGAGAGTCCTTTCTAATTAAAGTCATGAGGCCAAGACCAAATATTTTGCCTCATTGCCTCTTGGTGGGTACCATCAGATGGAGAAGATGATAGCCGTGGGTCACCTAGTGGCAGGATCACTTGGAATCCTAGCCTTAGCTGCCAACAATCATAGAGGCTGGAAGCAAAAGTCATTAATGTTTTCTCAATATATGAGTACTTCATTATTTTAATGAATTACCACTAATTAACTTTGTGCCTCAGAAATTTAAGCATAATTTTTGATTTTTGCAAATGTGGAAAAGATTGTATTTTGTACCCTTTTACTGCCTGTAGGCCCTGCTGACTTGGTCTAGGGATGGTCACATGGGGCACAGGATCGTCCTTATTGATGCAAGTGACATGCAGCCCTGCATGCTGAAGACCAGGAAGAACCTTTGCCTCCCTCTGAACAGTCTGCATGTACTCTGCCTTTTTAAATAGAAGTAATTTCTACTATGAAAGATAACTGCAACACAGAAACATAAAGGAGTAGCTGTGACATGCCCTCCACATCTTAACTTCCCTGAGAAAACAACTGTAGCGGTTTGTACTTACTCTTTCAGCACTATTCAAGTGATTGGTTCATTCATCAGAACTGTTACTGCATTTCGTGATGTGTGAAGTGGTGCCCAGGTGGTAGGGCATAACACTTTACATTCATAGCTCATCTTTCTGTACACAAAATGGGGCCATATAATTAATGATGTTCTAAAATTTATATTTAAAAAACCACAATAAGCCCCTTACATCTTCCTATATGAGTGCTTATAAAGTAGCTTCATTCTGAAGGAGAATACCAGTGTGCTTCCCATGCGTGCCTTGAACTCCTTGATTCAAGCTGTCCTCCCTGCTCAGCTTCTTGAGTAGCTGGGACCACAGGCATAGAGCACACATGCAGTCTGCCTGTTGCTTCCTCTATGTTGGATGTATTAGGGTCTAGGATGGCTTTAGGTTAAGCTACTGTTTTTTGGAATTGGATTGCCAGTTGGACCTAGGCACCTTCCTTCTTCAAACTCTGAGGTACCTCAGCTGTCATCCTCAGCACTGTCAGAGATATTTACCACATCTGTGACCCCCCAGATGGGCACTGCGGACAACATCTGTAATGGGAACACATCGCTTCTGCTCATGTCCCATTGGCCAGAATTCGGCCACAGGGTGGAACTTAGATGCAAAGGAAATTGAGCAGTGTGTTCAGTGAGGAGTCTGCTCGGTAGGGAAGAGGGAGAAGATACATATAGATGAGTAGTCTTTGTGTAGTAGTGTCCAGATAGCTCACGGTTTCTTGTTAAACTAGTGCTAGTATCTTTGTGTGCAAAGTAACCCTAAACTGTGGGCACCTAGAAGTAGTTAAAATGAATGTATATTTTAAAGTTTTATCAATGCTGCCACCTTGTCCTCTGAAAAAACTTCATCAATTTCCATAAACCATTGAATGAGTGCCCTGTTAATGACAAGTCCACACATCTTTGTCAACATGGGATATTATCCATCCTTTATCTTTCCAGTTTGCTGGATGAAAACATAATAGGATGAGTGGGTGGGTGGGTGGGTGGATGGATGGATATATAAACTAGAGTTCTCATAATTTACATTTCCATCATCAGTTGAGAGTGTAGAACTTAGTTTATAATCACTACTCATTCACATTTGCTCTGTGGATTGACTGCTTGGATCTTTTGCCATGTGTTTATTATTTTTGTTGTTGTTTTAGTCTTTGTTGCAGAAGATTATAACCTTCCAAATCTAAATTCCATCACTGTGTTTGTTTGTTTGTTTTTTCCTTTTTGAGACGGGATCATACTCTGTAATTCAGGCTGGTCTTAAACTTACTACATAACCCAGGCTAGGTGCAAACTCAAGGTGACCCTCTTGCTTTAACCTCCTGAGTGCAGGGTTATAGGTGTGCACCACCATGCCTGGCTGCTGTGCATTTTTATATCACTGTATCTGTTGGTCCATTCTGCAAGACTTCTAGGATTTTTGACTTACAAAGACTCTTCTTAGCCCCGAATAAAACTCTTTTATTGTTTTACATTTTAGGTTTTAGTCCACCCTGTTTCTTTTATGGAATCTGATATGGCAGTATCAAATAACTTTAGATTCTGCAACATCACTTATTATATTGTGCGTTCCTTTTTTACTGATTTAAAATGCCACTGTCACTATAGTTATGTATATGGGTCTATTCTGGGCTTTCTGTTCTATTGATTGGTTTGTCTCACTCTTACTGATGCTGGTCTGTAATTACCATAAATTTAATATTTGTAGTATTGAGTCTGTACTCATTATTCCTTATTAAAATTTTTTCTAATTTTGTGTATTTCGTTTTTATACTCACTTTAGAATCAACTTGTCAGATTCCATTAAAGGAAAACTCCTGCGGGCATTCTGATTTTGGTTGCTTTGACAGTACAAATTCAGTAGGGGAGAATTGACATCTTTTTTTTTTTTTTTTTCCTTTTTCCTTTTTATCGGTACTGGGGATCGAACTCACGACTGCCTGCTTGCAAGGCAGGCGTTTACGCCGCTGAGCTAAATCCCCAGCCCGGAGAATTGACATCTTTAGAATCCTTCAGGGAGCATTTACTTAGGGAGCATGTCCAGGTGTTCCCTCACAAGACTGTGGTGATTATAAACAATACACCAAACAAGGACAGTGCCACAAAACAAGATAGCAGAGTGTGCACAGAGTGGCCCTCATCCTGCTACAGATGTCTGCACACCTCTGCTGGTGGCACATTGCATTGTCCTGTGTGGGAGGTCACTTAGGGCCAGTGCTTTGCTGTGCGTATTGAGCAGGCTTCTGTGGGCCACTCTGCCACATTTCCCCAGGTCTTGCTTGACCTTCTTAACTTTCTGCTGAGCTGTAACCATCCAGACACAATACCAGAGGCAGTGTTCGGCCTTTAATCTAAATGTGCAAAAATTTGATTTCCGTCAGTTTTTCCACTTACATTATTGATGTCCAAGGAAAGGTAAGTGAAGGTATTCTGTGAAGAACTGCTTTGAAATACTGTTTGAATGAGCATTTTAGGCATTTTTCTTATAAGAACATCCCTGCTGTGCTTACAGGTAATCACTGGAATCTTTTCAGAATAGAACTGAATGTCTGGAGAAACATCTCTCATAGTAGGTTAATGTTAATATTTTACTGTTTTGTGACTTGAAAAAAAATTGCAAGGCCAATCCCATTTGTGTTTCTGTGTGTGATTTTTAAAAAATCATCTAGCAAATAAAATACTTGTGGACATCTCTGAAATCATGCATATTTGAGGACTTGATAAATTCTTCAAAACTCATCTGTGTAAATGAGGCACTGTGTCTTAGAACCACAGGACTGCTACGGAGAGATGGCATTAATGACACACATATACCTTATGGTAATAAGTGACAGCTGGGCATGAGATCAGCTTGTGAGAGTACTGTGAGCTGCAAAACTCAGGCACCTGCAAAGCAGCTCTGGGCTGCAGAATGAACAGGAGAACCATCCAGCTGTTGGCATTGCTGGTGTAAGTGCCATATGAGAAGGTACGGAGACATCTGGCTTACCGTCACATATAGTTTTGCAGGAATTAAACCAAAGAGCATCTGTCCAATGATGAGTTGCAATATGTTATTCCTCCTTTATCATGCCTCATGCTAATCAACAACCTAGTTCTTTTTTTCACAACCTCACACTCTCCGGGCAGCTGCTTACAGCACTGAGCTAAATCCCTGGCCCAGCATCCTACTTCTTGAGATGTTCTTGTAACCCATGTCTTCTCTGTTTGTTTTCCAGAACTATACTCAGTATATCCCTCTGTCCATCTATGACCTACAGACGTGGATGGGCAGCCCATCTATCTTCGTCTATGACTGCTCCAATGCTGGCCTGATTGTCAAGTCTTTCAAGCAGTTTGCACTGCAGAGGGAGCAGGAACTAGAGGCAAGTATGGCTGGGTTTCCATTTCATTCTCCTGGGGTGAGGATCAGGTGAGAGTTGGGGTGCTGGACACTGTAGAATGAGGAAGGCCTCTGTGTTCTGAGGGTGAGGCAGCACATTGGATGGGCTCTGGGGAAATCTCAGTGCAAGCTGATGAATCAGTTTTACATCCCATGGTCCGTGGTGTCACTTTAATCTGAACATTAACTGATACCATTAACAGAGTTGGTTTGCACTTAATTGGTCTCTGCCTGTAGGATGGTGTTAAAAAACACACACACATTTACTTTAGAAGAAATAGAACCATTTCCTTAATGCTAGTCTTCATTTTCATTAGCATGTTTGTTACTTCTTTTCTTTTGAGTTTTTTAACCAAAACTTCCAAACTAAATGGTTAAAACCAAAAACAGCTGCCACTGGTAGCTCCTGTGTAAGGAATCAGAGAGCCTGAGTGGTGCTCGGATAATGAGGTGATATTTTGCCTGGTTGTTTTAATTAATATTTGATGCTTGAATTAAACGGTGAATTCTAAAGAGAAATTGAGGAGGCCGTTTCAATTAAGAGGGTTTCATCCTGTAGCTTGCACAGGAGTGTCAGAATAAAATATTCTGTAGCCTCCAGGGGGCCATGAATTCTGATTGGTTGCAAGGCAGGAAATTCTCAATCCAGGAACAAAAAATATTCTTCAGTATGTTTCCTCAAACCTTTTTGGGGCTATTCAATTTTAATGTATTGTTTTGTTTTTCATATTTCATCAGAGGATAATGCTGAAAGAGTCAGTAACAAAATTTGAAATTCTATTTGGTAGAATTTACAGTTAGCATGTTTACAGTTTAATATTTATTATGTGTGAATTAAGTCCTTTCGAGGAACACTGCATAAGAATGACTGATAAATACAATGCCCTTTATCCTTAGGAATGGCACTGAGAGCCACAGGTTTGTTTGCTGTGTCTATGTTTTGCATTCTGTAATAAGAGAAAGCAAAGCTCAAATTTTGTATCACCAAAATATTAACTTCTTCTCAGACATTTCATCTGGGTTTACCCAATGGTAGGTTGTCTAATGAACACTAAAAAAAACCCTAAAGCACCAAGAAGTAATTTATGTTTCTTCCATCAAGCAATAAACATTGAAAAGAATTTTTTTATATTTAAAATATTTCAGTAAAAAGGCTGAAGACTCCTGCCTGATTTTTTATTCAGTTTCTGAGGCAAGAGAAGAAGTTAAAGAAAAGACTAGTCCATTAGTCTTAGTTAAAACATTTTGTTAATGAAAATAAAATATTTGAATATTTGTGTTCAAAATATTTTAACTAGCCCTCTTCCCTTGTAGGCAGAGGTTCACCTTTTTAGCTCATGAATCCTTTTAAACTATTCTTGCCAGCGCTGGGGGTGTGTGCTCCTTCAGGACTGTGTGTGTTCTCTGTATTGCCGCAAGGATTAATCAGCCCAAGATGCTGTTCATTTCAGTAACTGGGGAAAAAAGTTTACATGCATCTTTAAGAAACAATATTTAATTGACTCATTCCTCATGAAGAGGAAACAGTGCAGGGTTATAGCGTATGTTTTATAATTAGCTCTGATTTTTATCTTCATTCTTCTTATAATTACAGTGTAGATCAGCCCTGCATTTCTCTATCATACCTACTATTATTGGCTATTTTTCAGTCAGTCTCTTGCATAAGCAACAGAAGTTGAAATGTTAAAATTGGCTCCTGGCTAATATTTTAATGTACACTCTAGTCATTTACTCTTTGCTCCAGAAATAGACATCCTAAGTGGTCTGTTAGGTTTATACTTTTAAAATATTTCTTCTTCTCCAGCTAGCCAACTTTTTTGTAAATTTGCCATATATTTTAATACTTTTGGTCATGTAACATGTGGTGTGAGGGAAACTGGTAGGTAAGTGGTTTGTACAAATGTTTAAAAAATGAGGAAAGTCTTGCCATTATCTATTCGGTTGACCCTGGGATAGGGAGAGCAAATCCCTGTGCTTCCTATAGGTCTTTGTGGCACCTGCTTGAATTTGGAATCGTATCAGTAGGAAAAGAAGTGAATAAAAATGATTAAGCTATAGTGCTGGAACATGGTTAGCTGGAACATAAAAACCTTGAGATAATAAGACAAACACAAATGTAAGTGACATAAATTTTCAGAGCTGATCATCAACTTTCATGTTCTTCGTTGGCATAGTGCTATTCTGGCGCTAGAGGTTTGTCATGTGCGTCTTTCTCTGGAGGCAAAATAGAAGATGACTCCATAAAAGCACAGCATAATTTATTGCATGCAATTGAAATTTCGTTATAGTCAGAGAAATGTATGCCTGTCATTCAGGAATCTGCCTTATATTTTTCATTATGTCGTATTATTTTGTAATTTAAAAATTAAAGAAAATCTTTAAGTCTCTCTGCTGTCAATGTTTTTTTTTTTTAAGAAATATTTTTATTTTACCAAATTAGTGTGTCCTGTAGTTTAAAGAATTAAAGCATGCAAAGGGTTTCTTTGTAATGAATCAAATACCCCTGGCCCTGACTTCCCAAGCTGGAGCTCTGTGCAAAAGCATCTCTTTGAGTCTTCCCTCCTTACCTACAGATCACACACAGATGGTCGTGTTTCTAGGTTCTCCCATCATGGACTGTCTGCTGTGATCCAGAATCAAGGTGATACTTCCACTAATGAGTCCTCTATAAGAGAGAAATAAGATGAAAGATTGATAGTGATAAATATGTGGTAGTATAATTAATGTGTGTTTGTATTTGAGAGTGGGTTCTAAAGAGAAAGTCCTGTTGAAGAAGACTAGCTACCCTTCCTGCTTGTCATTAGCTACTCTTTCTGATTTTCCACTGCCATTCTAGGTAACACTCTGGTTTCTGTGTATGTTGTAAACTTTAGCATATTGAATAATATCTATGTTTTTATGTTTAGTTTTATCAATAATAGTTAAGGTCTTCTGTTTTTAAAACTCTTAGTTTCCTTCTACTTTTTTCCTCTTATCTTTCTAACTCTGTCTCTGCATTTTTAGTCCTGTAGTTATCTTACACATATCCTCTGTGCTGGGTATATGGAGAGTCTGTAAGATGATAAACATTGAATTCTATTGCCTGATCATGACTGCGTAAACTTGTCCCTTGAGTGGCTGGATAGGATACTGTGTTCCATGGTTGTGGTATTTGTTTGCTCTTTCTGTAGTCCTTTTTTCTTCTTGAATTCTACATTGATCTTTAATAAATGCTCAATGTTATGGTTTAAATACGAAGCATCCCTCAAATGCTCATGTATTGGGGACACTAATCTCATCAATGAGTTAACTTGCTGATGAGTTCATTAGCTGAATGGGCTGTTAAGACATGGGGCTTAGAAACTAAAGAAGGTAGATTCCTGGGCCAGGCCTTTGCAGGGCGTATCTCTTCTCTGGAGCTTCACCCTCGTTCTGTTTCCTGATTGCCGTGAAGTGAGGAGCTTTTTTCTGCTCTACTCTTTTGCCATGATGTGTCAGTCCTCTAACCAGCTGACCATGGACTGAAACCTCAAACTGTGAACCAAAATACGTCTTTTTGCCTTCGAGCTATGTAGTCAGGAATTTTGTTCCAGTGATAAAAAGCTGACAGATACACTCAGACTCCAGATTCTCAGTGTCAGAGTGTGTCCTTCCTCAAGGACCCTTGTTCCAGGGCCTTTACCGCCTCTTTTCTCCCTCCCCGCCTCTCTCACCTGCTGTCCACTCCCCTGGGTGCACCCTTGTGTTCTAGGCCCACCTGTTCAGCTTTTTGATGCCTTCTTATTCTACCACAGCACATCCTCAAGTACCTAGCCAGAGAGATCTTCCCAGGCCATATCTGCATTTACAGTCTTCAGTTGTAAACAGAGGAAAGCTCAGTGTGGTTTTTAAAAGAAAAAACAGTTTGTTTCTTTTACTAATAAGACCACTGAGGCAAATCATTTATTTCTTGAGCATTGCTGTTAGCATCCTCCTTTCTGGCATCCCTCATTCTCTGGTGCTTTATCCTCATGGCTGCCACTTGCCCACCACAGCTTAAGGCATTTCATCTGTTTCTGCAGCAGGATGCAGTGGGCAAGGGTCAGACCTGGGCACATCAGTTTTCCTTATTAGACAGTAATGCAGACTACGTCACATTGGTGACAGTTGGGCCGTAAAGCCAGCCCAGATACAGAGCATGGTGGTGGGAAGAGGAAATGGAGTTGGGAGTGGCCCCTGGATTATCTGCTGAGGAGTGGCAGTCACAGTGTGCTGTGTGTGGAATTCATAGTGTGCCTGTGGAATTTTAAGTCACTTTCACCCTTAAAGCAGTCTTGCTCTTACTACCAAAAATACAAAGGTACAACTATTACTATCCAGATAAAAGCCATTAAGGGGATATACATCATGATATACTTCATATATGTTGAATGAATTGGAAAAAAGAAAAAGCATTCAAATACTTTCTCAGCAACTTTTGCTCAGACATTTAATCCCTGGTCTGTAGCTGAAAAGGAAGGCCAAATTGTAAATAAATTAGTTCTCTTTGAAGTTGTCAGATTTGACCACCAGGTTCTGCTGGTTTCTAGTGGCTGCTTCCCAAAGGTAGTTAGAACTCTCGTCTCCACCAAGACAGCAGTATTGTAGAATCAGATCTAGCCAAGGTGTTCTTGGAAACAGAAGCCTTTATGGGCTCAACTCTGTCCCAGTAATACCAGCACCTGAATGTCACCGTCTTCCTTTGATTCAGTACTGGCTTCCTTTGATTGAGTACTGGACAGCTTGTCCGTAGTAACCTGACAGGAGCAGAAAGGTGCCTTCCTGGGATTGGGTTGCCATTCTTTAGGAAGCATCTTTGATTGACCTTGGGCCTGTCAGTCGCCCTTTTCTCCTGCCACTTGTTGACATTTTGCAAGGCATCACCTAAGTTGGCTCCATGCACATTGTATTCCTGTCTGACACATTGTGGGGTCTGCTCCTGCAGCATAGACCCTTGTCTGAGTCACTCACTTCCCAGCAGACATA